GCCGCCGCCCGCCCAGCCCCGGACACCGCTTCCGCCTCCGGACGTCGCCGCCTCCGAGGTACTCGGCATCGGGATCGCTCCGGCAAACAAGAATCCGTCAAGGCGCCCACAAGGAAGAGGAGAAAGAAACAGCAGCCATCGGGGGGAAGGCCCCCTCGCCCGGTTCGGCTCCGCAGGACAAATTCCCCACCGACGCGCTCCTCACATGAAGAAGGGAAAGGTCTCGGCTTGCTGGGCCAGGCGCCCGAGTCCCGCGCTCGTTCCCACAGCCTCCTAAACACAGCGCCGGCAGCCGCCTCTTCGCCTGACACAAACTCGCCCCATTCCTGGCTGGGCCCCCGAGTGCGGCCTGTGCGCCTCTCCTCTCGGTGCTCCGGCAGCGAACCTCTCCTTCACTTGTTCGGCTACGCCTCTTCGGCCCACGACTCCTCGGCTTGCTCGGTGCCCGAAATGGAAGGCGAAAGAGGACGAGAGCGAGGGGGAAAAAACGAGCGACCGCCAAGCGGGCTCCGTCGTCCGCCCTGTATGCTTCTCCTCAACACATAGAAAGAGACAGAAGGGAGACGGCCGGCGCAGCTGGCCCAACTGCGCCTGCGCGCCCCCGCTGAAGTACGAACAGATGAGCCTATCTCCAACCTGGAGAGTCCGGGTTGTCCCTTCTCTAAACGAAGCTAGCCAAAAGCTCGCGAGATTTTGTTACGTACTCTTTCTCCTCCCTCTTCTTAATACCGGAACATTCGGTAGGCCATTTCCGAATGTATCTGGCTGCTTGACCTCGTAGGTACCAGTCGTCATGGTTTTGTCTTAACTCTTCCGGTTCATTATGGCTGCTGGTAGAACGTTCGTCGGGGGAGGCGAGGGGGGGGGAGAAACGGCCATATCACGTAGAAGCCGACGAACATTCAAATAGAATACTCTGGATGAGGTCATGAAACAACTTCGCCGTTACAGTGAAAATAAAACTGAGTCGGGATCCTCGTTTGCTGGAAGTCTGGTTCCGCGCCTCATTTTTGCCCGTCCAGGCATTTGTGCTTTGAACGCTGCGTGAAGAGCTGAAATTCAACGGGAGAAGATTCACTTATGGAAGAGGTTTCACGTCTTGAACTTCTAGGCTATTTGGAGTTTAAAGGATACCGAAGGATCCCATTGTCTCTTTTTCGCTTAAGGGCTTTGAAAGACCCGTGGCCACAGTGCGCCCAGAAGCTGAAAGCTACTTAGAATTAAACACAAAACTCGCCCTTCGCAGGAATGCTGCAGTGGGAAAGTGCTCCACCTGTTGAATTTCCACCTTTCACATAGCCTTGAAACTATAAATGTAAAGATAGCGAATAATTTGCAGTTGAAAACCAATACTTTTATCAAAATATGTTCCAATAAACTCTCAGTGAACTCTTGCAGGCTTCTATAAAACCTGCATGTTGGCCTTCAGAAGTATTCTTTCATTTTCTGGCCAAGAATGCACATCTTTTAGCTGACCTTTCTAATGCTCAAAAATTATTTTTCCATCCCTCAAAATACTTGTAGCAAATGAGAGCTTTCACATCTTGACCCACTGGGCAAGTTTACAAGCTTATCTGTAACACACGATATATTTATTGTATGATCCATATTTTTCAGATTTTTGATATTTTGGTGTCAAAAGGATGTTTCTCATATACTGCCAAGTTAAATATACAAGAATTTAATGTTGTTCATCAACAGGAAACATTGTTATTGTATAAAGTAGCTATTACTCAAAAAATTACTTTAAAATAGTACCCATTCTTCACAGGGTGATTTGAGAGCCTTGACCCTGAAGGAGACTAGGAGGGAAAGAACAAAAAAACAGGGCTTCTTAGCAGTCAACCCCTGCCTGTGGAACAACCTAGCCATCGAGATCCGCCTGGCACCCTCGCTGGATGGATTCAAAAGAGCATTGAAGACTTGGCTCTTCAGCCAGGCTTTCCCTGACCATTAAGATCTCAGTCCCCTTTTACCATCCTTTTCATCACCCTTTTACCACCTTCATTGCCATCTGTTTTAATTTACTGTATCTTGTTGCCATGTATTACAGTGGTGCCTCGCAAGACGAGCGCCCTGTTTAACGACGAAATCACATTACAACGAAGTTTTTGCGATCGCAAAAGCGATCGCAAAATGATGTTTCCTATGGGGGAATTTCGCTTTGCGATGATCAGTTCCCTGCTTCGGGAACCGATTCTTCACGAAACAACAATTTTCCTACAGCTGATCGGCAGTTTCAAAATGGCTGCCGGGTAAAAAAAAAGGCTGCCCGCTGTTTTCTGGGACGGATTCCTCGCTGCACTGGCAGCGAAAATGGCCGCGCTATGGAGGATCTTCGCTGGACGGTGAGTTTCAAGCCCATAAGAATGCATTAATCGGGTTTTAATGCATTTCTATGGGTTTTTAAAATTTCGCTTTACGATGTTTTCGTTCTACAGTGATTTCGCTGGAACGAATTAACATCGTAATGCGTAGGTCTTTCATTTTCTAATGAAAACAAAACAAGCTCTTGTTAGTTTTTTTGTTTCATTGATTGATTATGGCCTCTAAAACATGAATGATTCATATTAATGAAAAATTTAATAGCATTGGAAGAGCTGCTTTCAGCAGCCAAACAGAATGTCAGGGTAGGGAATTGGAGATTTTGTAAAAGGGCCTGGGTTGGTTAGAACCTAATGAGAAGTGATCTTTGCTTTAATCATTCCTTCCTTGGGGTGTGCAGAGTAGCTGGATTTCTGTGTACCTTTTTATTTATACTGCAATAATGCCTAATCTGAAAGGACCATGTAGAATTCACAGAGACTGGACAGACAACCTTTAAAGCAGGGGTGTCCAACCTTTCACCTTCCCTGGGCCACAAATACATTTGGTTTGGGCCGCATGGGGGGCAGCCCTAGCCATCCTCCGCAGCCCCCCTCCAAGCGCGCTTACCGGCAGTTGTGATCTCAGCCAGCAAAGGCTGCCAGCTTCGACTCCGGCGGCTTTATGGGGCAGGGAGGGGGTCCACCTCTTGCCGGGGATGGCACAATGCAGTCACGCAGCCCCCCCGTCCCCTCGCCTCCCAGTCCTTCCATCCTTCCCTCTCTCCCCCTCTACTGTTGTGACGTGCCCTGACCACATTCCGGCCGCAAGTGCCGGCAGTGTAACTTGAAACTTTGGAATTTCTTTAAAAATAAAAAAATTGCACTGGGTTGCATTACAAGCTGATCTGGGCTGCATGCGGCCCTTGGGCCTTAGGTTGGACAAGCCTGCTTTAAAGCCTATGTTGCCACATACCTTTGTACCCATTGTCATAAGAGCCTGCTCAGCCATGCAGTCCAGGGGAGAGGCCTCTCAAAAAATGTTTTTTAATTGAGTTTAGGACTTTGTGAGGAGGAGGGGGTTAGACTACTCAACTAGGCACAGAAAATAAACTGGCTGCTCTTCCAGAATGGAAACTCCCTGAGATAGCCATTAGGAAAGCAACCTGCAAGAAGAAAAGGCAGCCAACAGTCAGCACCAAGAAGTGAAGCCGAGTAAGGGGGCAGAGACAATACATTAAGGGCTGACCTGCCCCAATGAACTGCCCCTTGTGAGCTATAGTATTTTTTGTCAGAGAGTACTTAAAATCAACAAATGTCTGCCTTCCTGTCTCTCCAAGGCCCAAGTAAAACCATTAGGGGTGTTTCTTAGGGATAGAGAGAATTGACTTGTAAGACAGGTGCATCCTCCAGGATGCCAGTTGTCTATTCCTATCCCAGAATGATGTAGACGAGTCTTCTGATTTCATACGATGTCATCCTTGTAAGTCTATGTATGACAGAGTGAGGGAAGGTATTGCATGTTCCTGAATTGCTGGGGAGTTTCCTTGTGACCCACACATCTAAGAACATGTTGAACAAAGTGTATAAAATACAATCTGGTCTGTTTGAT